GTCGTTGATATACGCAAACAGGGCAGATGCCGGCGCTCATCGTTGGTAAAGCTGCTCTTTGCCTTGTCCAGTTGCACTTGTCAGAGCCTGAATTGCGTGATTCATCGTCTAGACCGTGGAAAAATGACGTTACGAAACGCATTTCCTGAATACAGCCGATTCATTCAGTCATTTTTTTTTCTTTTTTTGTGAAAATTTGGTTTTTTTCTAGAGAACTTGTAAAAGCCGGTGCGTGTATGCTAACAGTGCACGGGAGGACACGTGAACAGCGTGGACCGAATACGGGTTTGGCCGATTGGTCGGCAATGCGTGCTGTTGTGAATGCTGTTGATGTTCCGGTTCTAGCTAATGGCAATATACAGGTTACTTTTATAACTGATACAGCAGAAGCAGCCCAGAAGACTTTCTCGATCATATTTATAAACAAGTTTCATGGGTTTCGGACTTAAAATTCACTCTGTATGGGGACAAAACAAGCCGCAAACGCGGCTTTGACAGGGTATGGTGGTTGAGAGTGCGTGTGTGTGTGTGTGTGTGTGTCTGTGTGTGTCTGTGTGTCTGTGTGTCTGTGAACTTTCAGTTTTATCTGTGACTCGAAATTTTCAACAGCACTGATTTCTATTTGGAGCTCTGAGATATTTTCGTTCTGGATTCTTATCGAAGCAACCCGGACTGCGTTTATTTGTTCCTGTTCAGTTGGAGGAACACTTTTTTAAGAAAAGTTCAAGTTTGTCTAAGTGGGGAGTTCTCGGAGTGAACTTTTGTAATTCAGATCCCCGGTGACGTTAACCGATGCTTACAATCAACCGGTGCTAGTGCTGTTATGAGTGCAGAAGGCATTTTATCGAATCCATATCTATTCGAAGAGCGACACGAGGTAAATTGGCTGGTGGCAAAGGAGTATCTTGATTTCGCTGAGCGTTACGAATCCACTGTAAGCACCATCAGGGCGCATCTGTTTCGCATTTGTCATCATAGGTTTGTTGGTTTTCTGCGTTCTATAAGACTCTTGAAGGCCAGGGCTTCTAACTGTGAATTGTCGAAGAACGGCGGAACTTACATTCTGGCAACTCTTACCAGGCGATAACAAGTCGTAAACTTTGACGTGATCGTACGCGCTTCACAAG